TTATAAAAATCTTGAATAGCCCTTTAAATGGATGTAAGTCTTCAGGCTTTGTCCAATTTACATTTTTATTTAACTCCAAAACTTTTGGATGTCCTAATAAATTTTCAAGATTATTTAAATAATTAGAATTCACCTATTGGATAAAAGGCGTAAAAATTCACAGCAGGATATAAGCTGACAACATCAAAGCATGAGATCTCATACTCATTTTCAAACGTTCCTTCTAGATCACATTTAAGCGAAAGAGGACCTGTTCTACCACCCTTAATTTAAAATTTAATGATTAATTGAACAAATCATACATGGAAAGCATCTCTGGGGTAAAGAGGGCCAATGTCTGGCAATCTATCAAAGAAACGAGACATTTCAAGGCACTCTTCAAGGTCTTTCATTACTTCACATTCCCAAACGGGAATAGTCCAAATTCCAGCTTCCTTCAACAATCGAATACGTTCATCAAGTTTATCTTTATTATATAGCGAGGTCTTTCCATTTAGACAAATTTCATGTGGGCGATATAAACTAAAAATAATTTATTTCACATAGAATGTTAATTACCATTCATGGCCGTGCCAGGCACATCCAAGGAATTCAATAGCTTGGTCCCATCCGCCATGAGTGCTTTTAATATAACCATCCAGTCGTAAAAGACTTCTGTCGGAAACACGTACCCTCTTTTCTCCTTCCGGGCTTTCTCGATGTTGAATTTGGAGATCTGTTTTATGAGAAAGCCATCGAAGATATTTTAAAGCGATTGCTGATTGGTTTGTATCTTTATGATATCCGTTGTCGGGAATAATACCCATTTGGGCTTTTTTCAAATAATTTATACCTTAAAATTTTTATTAGCCTTTTAAGGTTTTAAAAGCTTACAAAAATGGCGAATACAAGCGCTTGCAATTGTCATTGAATTAACAAGCACGTCATCGCGCTTTGCAGGCTCTGTAGCTAATGCAAAGAAAAGGCGTTGAAGCTTCACAAGTGCATGAGCTAGAATACGCACGTCTTGTTGACAATATTCGACAATTTGATCACGAAGGCAAAACGGTTCGTTTTTATTTGCTGTGTACCATTCTTCAAACATTTTTCTCCTTTCTTTTCCCATTGAATCAGGGTAATAATATTGTTGATCAGGTAATCCTTTGAGACGCACATCCATATTTTTATTGAAATTCCAGCCATGAGGAAAAAAGGACTTTCCCCCTTCGTCGATTTCAAGTGCATGTGCTTTGGGGAGTTGTTCCAATTTAAGCATTGTCCAATTGAATGAGTCGCGAAATGAAATATAAGGAAAGCGTCTTCGTTGTTTTTTAATTAGAACTTCATAAAGCTTATTTCCTGTCCTTGTTATTTTAGGCTCAATTCCAAAATGTTTGATTAATTCCCCTAATAGCAGATGCATATCATATCGACTTAAATTAATAATGCGAAAATTGAATATAATTAAACAAACCCCCCATAATGTGAAATAGCATATGTTTTCCCTGTTCGCTGATTCCCTAACCCATTAATCAACCATTCCAAAAATTCACGCAAGGGATTTGAAAAGTCTGCTGCTGTCCAAGTTCTCATCCTAGGCTTATTAATCCCGCAAATTTTGCAAGAACCAGTTCTCTCATTTCTCCAGTTATCATTAACTATGCATTGATAACACATTAACAATGCCTAATTTGATTAATATTTTTATACATAATAAATAAATACCGATACACAGTTTACATGGTGTAATTGATAATTTTCATCATTAGGTAAAAATTCTATAGGATTATCCTTTTGTAGCTGATCCCAATATTCTTTATTCCTTGTCGGAGAAATTAGCTCACATTCAAAGTCAAAGACAATCTGAGACTATTTATTGTTAAAATTTAAAAATAAATACCAATAAATATTCTTGATTATGTTTTGGTACAATAGGTTGCACATAACATTGTTCTTCGAGCTTGTGCATTGAAAAACATTGAGAACAAAACTGAATAAAACATGTATGCCCGTTGTCTTTTTCAACATCCTCATCTGTGGATTCGCTTTCAGATTCTTTTGATTTAGCCTTTTTAACACGATAGATATGTCCGCATTCCTCACAACTAAAAAGTTAGTTATAAATTTATACTATTTAATAATACCGTTTAAAGATCTTGCAGATTCCTTTCTCTATGTGCCTTTTATAGCAGTCAGGATTTTTAAATATATTTAAACACTGTAAACATTTTTTAGAAAAATCTTCAAGCACTGCATGGAAATCCAAAACCCATCCCACAACATCGAGGGCATTTAGCGACGCATTTTTTTCGATGATCAACTTTCTTTGTATAAGGAGCCTCACAGTCAATACAATAATACGAACCAAAAAGTGCATTAACATTTCTGATTCCATAATAATGTCCTTCTTTTAAGTATAAAGCAATTTCATGTTCTGCCCTTTCCGTTCCTTTCCATAATGGGCGCAATTTTCCATGTTCTCCAAACACAGATATTCTGTACTTGCCGGGCCAACGCACATTCAGATAACGTTGTAACATCGGAACATGCTCATCAAAAGTATACTCTGCAGCGCACGTAGGATCTCGCATTCTTATTTTGTCCATTAACAAGCCTTTGGAATTTTTTATTCTCCAAAATTGTCTTATCTAGGTTGACATGTAGTATTTTAAGTTGAACAGCGAGAATTAAACAATGAACGTTTGATGGAGGGTTAAGAGTTTCGTTATGGACCTAAATTTTTAAACTTTGATGATAATAAAAAATAATTACAGGAATCAAATTGTTGATATCAACTCCTTGGTGAATTTTTCTCGACTTCCTGCCCATTCCTCCTTGGTCTTGTTTTAATAATTCAAGAGCCTCATCATGCGATGGACCCATAACAATCTAAACAAAATTTATTTAATTATTAACGAATAATATTTACCTCAATATTTATAGGCTGACTGTATAGAGAAGGTCTGCCCATGCGTTTTCCACTTTGATCAACGGCATCAAATTGTTCCATAACAACCTGAGGAGTGTTCTGAGCAAGACCTCTATATGGAATTTGAATGGGTTTTTCAAGAACAGAACTTCTTATTATGATTGAACACTTCTCAGATTTTGCACCTGAAGCGTTGTCGGCCTTTGCAAGAAAGTGATCTACCAAATCTTCTAATAGTTTATCACTGCCCTCTGGTGCGTCATCGACATTCCTAACTGTAAATACAGTTCTGAAATTTATAATTTAATTAATACAAATTTTTATTATACCTAAAAACTCCTATTTTAAATTTTGTGCTTTTGATGTTCTCAGATACTTCTTCATTGTAAAAATGTTTGATTGGAAATTCGCCAACAATTTTTGAGCGACTCATCTATTTTTTAAATTAACACAAAAATTAATTATTTAAAATATAACTGCGAATTAACGCTAAATTAAAAATGAATGAATTTTATATTATTTATTTCATGAAAATAATGTTTAAACAAATCACAATATTTTTCACCAATCTTCTGTCTGCATATCCTCGTTGTTTTCAAAAATATTAGCAACCTCTGCATGCTCCATGGTAATAGTCCCAGATGTGCCTTCACCTTCCTCATTGAAGTTAAGTTGCGACTCAACACGTTTGGTTATATCATTCATAATAATAATTGGGGAATTTTCTGAAAATCCAATTTACAAAAATCTTCAATTAAAAAATACCTCTGCGTTTCTTTGGATCTATGTATCGCGCATAACAACAAATATCAATGGCCGTTTCCAAATCTATTTGCTCCCAAAATTGGCTATTTGGGTTGCCAAGTGCAGTGTACAACTCATCCTTTACAACATCGACAATCGCCTTGAAAATATTTAATTAAATTTATAAGTCTTTAAAATAACTTGTCTTCCCAAAGCATTTCGTTGCTTCAAAAAGTATTCGTGTATTCGGCCAATCGTAATTTGAGGATATTGCTTTCTGTGATGTTTAATGAATGCTGCATAAAAATCCTCTTTCAATTGTTTTTCATCTAATTCAATTCCCATTAACACCTCAAGTTGATGAGCTAATCGGATGCGTTTTTCCTTGAGTGACTCAATAGCAACCTCGGCCACATGTCGATCCATCTGAAATATTAATTTAAAATACAAAGGAAATTAATCAAACATTTTTCCAAATCCGTGTTGATATTTTCAGCTAAAATATAAGTTAAAAAAGGATGAAACATAATTGAAAATATAAGCGAAAAAACGCCATTAATAGAATTCAAAACAATAATAGAAATTTTATTCAACAAAAGAATATATCGTAATTATTTGTTCTTGTTGAAGGTGTTGAATAAATTATATGTTTTCTGTTGAAATTCTTTGTTTGCTGCCAAACATATAGGACAAAGCTAAATATATTTATTAATTAGTTTTTTACTTCTACTTACAATAAAGTTCAATTCATATTTTTCACCACATTTTTGCAAAAACAAGTCGTTTGCCAGAGACGTTTGTAAACGGCTACAATAATCACACTAAATGTAAAAAATAGTTATTTATTTTTATAAAAATATACCTGGTGCAGGATCCAACAAAGTTTCAACAGGCTTAAAAGCTTGTTGTCATTTCCTTTAGCAATGTTCGGTCCTCGTCGAGTATAGTAGACTCCCGCAACTAAAAAATAATTATTAAAAAATTTTAAAAATTCTATACCTTTTTCAAAGCTCGATGTTTGTTGATCAAATTTCAAATTTTTTGATGTTTGTCCTTTAAAAATTTTGTTTATTATTTTAAAATATTAATTTACCCCAAGGGCCTGAATAATTCATCCCCAACAAAATATTTTTGTCCAAATCCTCAGCGCACACTTCCATTGTAAGGATTGCATTATCTGAACTCCCGCATTTGAAAAGAAAATATTCTCTCTTCTTTTGATCATCGCGACATTCAGTGCATTGGTATATGAACAGCCCTTTGCGCTGCTCCTTGAGAATCTGTGCACGGTTGAGTACTCCCTCTGGCACTAAATTCATTGCACGTTGTTGGCCTGAAATTTCTTTATTTATAAAATTAATGTTAACGTACGCTCAGATTTAATTTTCTTGTACTCTTCCTCATTATCGCCTAAATCAAAAATTTCATTGGAGTCAGGATCTTCAGAATCATCCTCTTCATCCTCATAGTCCATCATTACTTCATCAACGGGCTCAATATTTTCTTCGTTTTTGTTACGCTCAACAATTGCCTTAATTTTTTGAATTTTAGAAATAACATTCAAATTTTTTACTTTTATCACTCCATCATTATGACCAGTTTTTTTGACCTTTTTAATTTGCATCTTTTTTGCGGAGGGCGGCTTGCTTTTAGAAGATACTGAACTTAGTGTAGTACTTGATTTTGTGATTGAGCGTCTCCGACGCGCTTCAGCGGCTTCCTTCTTCTTTCGCTGTTCAATTATGAAAGCACGAACTTCTTCAAGTTCCGCAATAGTTATAGCTAAAATTCTTTTAACATAAGAAAATATGTAAAAATCACCTTCTATTGGCGTTGCTGCCTTCACAGAACAATCATCATTGAGCATATTACGAGTATCTCCATCCCTGTCATTCGTAATCATTGCTTCTGTAAATGATAATAATGCCATATGTAAATTAAACATTTAGCGATTTTATCATTTACCTTTATTATTGCCGCGGGAATTGAAATCCACGGTTTGATCCATTTTCTGCAAATCTATATAAAATTTATTTAAAATAAAAGCTATTAAATAAAAATGCTTAATAAATTTGAATATAAAACGAAAGGTGACAAAGTTAAGGTACAAGGGACGGGGTTTAACTATTATGAAAATGTTTTAGATTAGTGTTACAACTCATTTAAAAAAATGTTTTAAAACTAAGTGTAAAAACTACTGATTAAAAAATCTTTAAAAATTGTGGCGCGTTGGGATTTAATAATAATTGAAAAGTGTTTTAAAAGTATTAAGTGTATCTACTAAATGAAAATTTTTGAAAAGTTGAAAGAGAGCATTAAAAATTTTAAAAAGAATGAAGGAGGAGTTACTACTTATTGAAAATTTATAAAAAATATGCGGTGGTAGGGTTGAATATTTTTAAATTGAATATTTTTTTAAAAATATGGGGGTTTAGGGTTACTACTAATTAAAACTTTCTAAAAAGTATATGCGGCGGTGGACTAACTACTGCTTTAAAAATTTTAAAAAGAATGAAGAGGGTTACTACTTATTGAATATTTCTAAATAATATGAGGGGTTAGGGTTCTGTTTAAAAAGTATATGAAGCGGGGGGACTAACTACTGATTTTTAAAAAGAATGAAGGGGGGTTACTACTTTTTGAAAAATTTTTGAAAATATAAGGGGGAGGGTTACTACTTATTGAAAATTTTTAAAAAATATGAGGGGTTAGGGTTCTTTTTAAAAAGTATATGAAGCGGGGGGACTAACTACTGGTTTTTAAAAAGAATGAAGGGGGTAACTACTTATTGAAATATTTTTAAAAAATATGAGGTGGGTAGGGGGTAACTACTTATTGAAATATTTTTAAAAAATATGAGGGGTTAGGGTTCTTTTTAAAAAGTATATGAAGCGGGGGGACTAACTACTGGTTTTAAAAAGAATGAAGGGGGGGTAACTACTTATTGAAATATTTTTAAAAAATATGAGGTGGGTAGGGGGTAACTACTTATTGAAATATTTTTAAAAAATATGAGGTGGGTAGGGGGTAACTACTTATTGAAATATTTTTAAAAAATATGAGGTGGGTAGGGGTAACTACTTATTGAAATATTTTTAAAAAATATGCGGTGGGTAGGGGTAACTACTTATTGAAATATTTTTAAAAAATATGCGGTGGGTAGGGGGTAACTACTTATTGAAATATTTTTAAAAAAATATGAGGTGAGTAGGGAGTAACTACTTATTGAAATATTTTTAAAAAATATGAGGTGAGTAGGGAGTAACTACTTATTGAAATATTTTTAAAAAATATGAGGCGGGTAGAGGTGTAACTACTTATTGAAATATTTTTAAAAAATATGAGGTGGGTAGGGGTGTAACTACTTATTGAAATATTTTTAAAAAATATGAGGTGGGTAGGGTTACTATTTATTGAAATTTTTAAATAGAAGTGTGGGTTACTCACGGATAGAAAAATTTTAAAAATTATAAGCGGCGGGGCTAAAAATTTTTTAAAAAATGAGGGTAGGGGTTACTACTTTTTGAAAATTTTTAAAAATATAAGGGGATGGGCTTATTGAAATAAATTTACATGTTTTAAAAGCTATGAAGGGTTGATTATTTATTAAAAACTTAAAAAGTGTGAGGTTAACTTCTAAAAGAAAATTTTTAAATTATGAAAAGCCAAATGTTAAAACGGATTTTAAAATATTTAATAGTTATGTGTGGGTAATTACATTTTAAAAAACTAAAATTATATTAAGTCAAATTTTAAAAAATTAAAAAAATAAATTAAGGTTGGAGCTATTTTAATGGATGGGGTAAGTAATTTAAAATTATATAAAAGAGTAATTATTAAATATATTATAAAAGGGGAAAGTAGAAATTAATGAATGATAAATATTAAAATTTTCTGGCTGCTTTTATATGGCTCATTCAGGCAGAAAATCCAAAGTACACTCCAATAAATCAAAGATTGTTTAAACCAAATGTGTTTATTGAAGGATTGAATTTAAACATTTTGGAGAGAGATTAGGATATAAACACTTTGATTAGTAATCCTATAATATTTTTATTAGTTTTTACGGAAAAACTTTGCTCTTTTTTTGCGAAAACAGTGCAGTCTATCGCTCTGTTTATTTTAAAAACAATTATTCATATTTTTTATATCTGTAACTTTGTATAAACAATGGTGATTAGCCTTTGCTCGCTAAAAAAGCAAAGTTCTTCCGTAAAAACAAATAAATATAGTATAGAATTACTAATCAAAGTGTTTATATCCTAATATCTCTCCTAAAATTTTTAAATTTTTATATAACCAAAAAATAAACACATTTGGTTTAAACAATCTTTGATTTATTGGAGTGTACTTTGGATTTTCTGCCTGAATGAGCCATATAAAAGCAGCCAGAAATTTTTAATATTTATTATTCATTAACCTATCCTTCCCATATTCTATCCCATTAATTTATCCTATATTTTCATATCCACCTTTTAATTAAATAAAACATATTATTAAAAATTTTTGATTTTGTTTTTAAATGTTTAATTAAGTTTTTCCAAATATTTACTTTTAATAATTAATGAAATTTTAAAATTTTTAATGTTTATTAAAATTTTTAAAATATTTTTAATATATTTATTTTATAAAATTTTGAATTGAATATTTTCATAATTTTTAATTTTATATAAATTTTTAGGATTTAAAATATTTTTTTTATTTTTTAATAAAATTAAATAAATTTTAAAATATTTAATTTTTAAATATATTTAATAGAAACTAAATTTTATATACAAATAAAACAAAATGTTAAAAATTAGATTTTATGTCTAATATGTAGTAAAATTTTTAAATTTTCGAATTGAAATATCTTTTCAGAATTTTAAGAAATTTTTAAATAATTGATTTTTGAATAAAATATAAATAATTGATTTTGTATAAAAAATTATAAATAATTTTTTGACAACATAATATAAAGATTATTTTTTGAAGAAAAAATTTTTTCCTATTTAATTTTTTGATTAAAAAATATTTTTAAAATTTTGAAGAAAAATTTACATTAATTAATTTTTGAAGAAAAATAATTTAATAATTCAATTTTTAGAAGAAAAATAAAAAATTTTTTTCGTTTAAAAAATATTTTTAAAATTTTGAAGAAAAATTTTTAAATAATTTATTTTTCAAGACAAATTTTTAATAATTAATTTTTGAAAAAAATAATTTAAAAATTCAATTTTTAGAAGAAAAATAAAAAAATTTTTTCGATTAAAAAATATTTTTAAAATTTTGAAGAACAAATTCTTAAATAATTTATTTTTCAAAACAAATTTTTAGTAATTAATTTTTGAAGAAAAATAATTTAAAAATTCAATTTTTAGAAGAAAAATAGAAAATTTTTTTCGATTAAAAAATATTTTTAAAATTTTGAAGAAAAATTTTTAAATAATTTATTTTTCAAGACAAATTCTTAGTAATTAATTTTTGAAGAAAAATAATTTAAAAATATAATTTTTTGAAGAAAAAATTTTTTACCTACCTAATTTTTTGATGAGAAAATATTTTTTTAATATTCCAAGAAGAATTTGTAACTTTTTGTTGAAAAATTATTTTAAATAATTAAATTTTCTGATGAAGAAAATGTTTTTAAAATTTCCAAGAAAAATTACTAAATCATTGAATAAAAATTATTTTTAAATAATTTGATTAAATAAAAATTTTAATTAAGTCATTATTGAAGTAAAATTATTTTTAAATATTTAATTTTTGATTAAATAAATAATTTTAAATGAAGTTTTTAAAAATTTTTAATTTAATAAATATAAAAATTCCAATAATTAATTTAAGAAGAATTAATTTTAATAATTTTAAATAAAAATTATTAAAAAAATAATTTTAAATAAAAATTATTAAAGAAAATAAATATATATTTTTTAAATAATTAAAGTTTGAAGAATAAAAGTAAATTTTTAAAAATTTCTCCTTCAAAAATTAATTACTAAAAAAATAAATATTTTTAAAAAATTTTTGAATAAATAAATAAATTTTAAACAAATAATATTGGAAGGAAAATGAAAAAGGGAGGAAAAATTTATATCTTTTTACACTTTAAATAAATAAACAAAACAAAAAGGAAAGACAAGGAAAAATTAAAGAGAAAAAAAGTTTGAATAAATTATAAACAAATATGTTTAAATAAATTCTGATAGATTTGTAAAAATGTGCAAAAAACCAAAAAATATTGTAATGTGCAAAAAACGCATTTTTGATCTTTAATTGAAAATATTTGTTTATAATTTATCCAAACTTTTTTATCTTTAATTTTTCCTTGTCTTTCCTTTTTGTTTTGTTTATTTATTTAAAGTGTAAAAAGATATAAATGTTTCCTCCCTTTTTCATTTTCCTTCCAATATTATTTGTTTAAAATTTATTTATTTATTCAAAAATTTTTTAAAAATATTTATTTTTTTAGTAATTAATTTTTGAAGGAGAAATTTTTAAAAATTTACTTTTATTCTTCAAACTTTAATTATTTAAAAAATATATATTTATTTTCTTTAATAATTTTTATTTAAAATTATTAAAATTAATTCTTCTTAAATTAATTATTGGAATTTTTATATTTATTAAATTAAAAATTTTTAAAAACTTCATTTAAACAAATTAATTATTTATAAATTGTTGCTTCAAAAATTAATAATTTAAAAATTTTATTATGACAAAAATTAAATAATTAAAAATAATTTTTTCAAAAGCTTTTAAAAATGTATCTCTTCAAAAATTAATTATTTAAAAATTTATTATTTTAACAATTTCTCACTTACAAATTTTTAATTGCTTAAGGATTTTAATTTAGAAATATTTTATTGCTTTCCTTCAAAAATTAATTTAAAAATTGCTACAAAAATTAATTTAATTTATTCAAAAAATCACTTATTTAAAAATTTATATTTATTTCAACGAAAAATTTTTACATAGAATAATTTTCGAGGAATAAATATGAATTTTTAAAAAGTTTTTTCTTAAAAAGTAATTTTTATTTTTTAGATATTAAGATTTGCACAACTTTTAATTTTTAAAAATTTTTGCTTTTAATCTTATAGGATTTAATTAAAAAATTTTTCGATATATTAATTAAAGTTTATTTAAAAATTTGTTTAAAAAATTTATTTTTCTTAATTTATTAATTTTTTAATTTACGCTGCTTTTAAGACAAAACTTGTTTTGTCTTAAAAGGTGTGTATATACTACTAATGCTTCAATTCAAAACTGAAGCACAGAAAATGCTTCAATTCAAAACTGAAGCACAGAAAATGCTTCAATACAAAACTGAAGCACAGAAAATGCTTCAATTCAAAACTGAAGCACAGAAAATGCTTCAATTCAAAACTGAAGCACAGAAAACGCTTCAATTCAAAACTGAAGCACAGAAAATGCTTCAATTCAAAACTGAAGCACAGAAAATGCTTCAATTCAAAACTGAAGCACAGAAAATGCTTCAATTCAAAACTGAAGCACAGAAAATGCTTCAATTCAAAACTGAAGCACAGAAAATGCTTCAATTCAAAACTGAAGCACAGAAAATGCTTCAATTCAAAACTGAAGCACATAAAATGCTTCAATTCAAAACTGAAGCACAGAAAATGCTTCAATTCAAAACTGAAGCACAGAAAATGCTTCAATTCAAATCTGAAGCACAGAAAATGCTTCAATTCAAAACTGAAGCACCGAAAATGCTTCAATTCAAAACTGAAGCACAGAAAATGCTTCAATTCAAAACTGAAGCACAGAAAATGCTTCAATTCAAAACTGAAGCACAGAAAATGCTTCAATACAAAACTGAAGCACAGAAAATGCTTCAATTCAAAACTGAAGCACAGAAAATGCTTCAATTCAAAACTGAAGTTCAGAAAATGCTTCAATTCAAAACTGAAGCACATAAAATGCTTCAATTCAAAACTGAAGCACAGAAAATCCTTCAATTCAAAACTGAAGCACATAAAATGCTTCAATTCAAAACTGAAGCACAGAAAATGCTTCAATTCAAAACTGAAGCACAGAAAATGCTTCAATTCAAAACACTACTATCTGTCCCCTATTAAATTATCGATTGATTAATCGCTAATTTAATAGGGGAGGGGTCCGCCCGCAACCAAGCCCGCCGCCCGCAATCCAACCCAAAAGTCGAAGAATAGTTTCCGCGGGGGCGGACAAAAGACCACCATTGCAAAACGTCAATTGTCAAAATGTCGAATTTAAAAATGACAAATTTCAAATGGAAAAAAGTGAAAACGCCAAAAACAAAAAATGGACAATAAAAGAAAATAAAAGGCTAAATCGATATCTTCCTATGTTTGTTACTTGTTAGCGTCCGTTTTTTCTCTTTTTTTTTGCCAATCCATTTTTAAGCTTATGTTTTTGACCAAAATAAAAAAATAATGACTCATAAAATATTTTTACTTTTATTCTTCAATGTTTAAATTTTAGATAATTATTTTAAATTTTAATAATGAGCGGGGGCTATAATGTAGAGAAAAAGGATATTGAAGATATTGTAAAGAAATCTGCCTATTTTACCCGCGGGGGCTTAAATTCGCCTTATGTGGATCAGGAAGTGAAGATTGGTGTGGATGGTAATGGGGAAGGAGTGTTCAGGTTTAATTTTTATGATAATCGGACAAACTTTAATGTTAAAAATTGTAGGACTGAAAGGAAATATGTGCATCCGCAAATTATTTTTGCGGAGATTGTGGCTTTTTTGTTTAATTTTGTGAGCTGCTTTGGCCATATGGATTTTGTGGCATTGTTTGACGCGGGGGCATGCTTGGACGTGGATGTTGAGGGACGACGATCTCTTAGATCGTGGGATGAATGTTTGTTTGATTAATTTTAATAAATTTAATAATTTTAATAAATTTTAATAAATTTAATAAATAAAAAATTTTAGTGAAGAGAGTGGCAAGAAAATGTCTGCTGAAATGGCATACTGATAAAGCGGGGGCTGGGGGATTAGAGGCTTGTCAACTGGCACACAAGGCTTTTGGCTATCTTATTCAAAAAACCAAAATTTTTTTAAAAAATCTTTCTTGAGTTGAAAATATTGGGGTATTAAAAAAGTTATTTTAGGAATATTAAAAAAGCTATTTTAGCAATGAACCAAGTTAATACTGATGGATATCGCCTCTGGGACTTGAGCGCGGACCCGGCAGCACATGAACAACATTTGAGTCTTGCTGAAGCGATCAGGCTTTATGGAAAGAGGGAACCGGTTGTAAAGGATCCAAGCGGGGGCCAATGTTTACATTGTGGGAGCGTGGGGCATCAGGTCTATTTTCTGTATTTTTAACGAAACAAAATATGTTTATATAGACAAGATTCTGCAGCAATGGCGGGGGCTCTGGGCGAAAGGACAGTGCGGGCAATGTGTGGGTGGTTGGTTGTAAGCTGAGGTGTTTTTCCTGTGGGCAGTGGACTAAAACACATAGCGCCAGCACGTGTCCATTTACTCATCCTGATGCAAGAGGAATTGCTAAGCGGGGGCAGCCGAGCAAGTGTTGGAACTGTGGCAAAACTGTAAAAATATTCTTTTAAATAAATAAATAAAATATAATTTGTTTAGGGGCACAAAGCAAACTTTTGCAATGCCCCGCGCTATAAGGATGTCCACAATGAAACGCTGCAAACTCGGCAGGATGTCGAGAATAAAGCCAAACCGGGGGCTTCGAGATCAATGTGGGACGAGCCGGATAGTGATGATGACGATAAAGCCAAAGCGGGGGCTTCACGATCAATGTGGGACGAGACGGATAGCGATGATGATGACGATATTGGATTGGATTAATTTTATATTTAATTTAAAATATTAATTTGTTAAATGTTTTTTACTCTAAAATTTTTTAATCTGAAATTTTTTAATCTAAAATGTTTTTAATCTAAATTTTTAAATCCAAAATTTTTTTATCTAAAATTTTTTTAATCTAAAATTTTTTTAATATAAAATTTTTCAATCTAAAATTTCTTAATATAAAATTTTTTAATCTAAAATTTTTTAATCTAAAGTTTGTTTAATCTAAAATTTTTTAATACAAAATTTTTTTAATTTTTAATGTTTTAATCTAAAATTTTTCGAATGTAAAAATCTTTTAATATAAAATTTTTTAATCTAAAAAATTGTTTTAATATAAAATTTTTTAATATAAAAAAATTTTTTTAATACAAAAAATAGTTTTATTTTTTTAATACAAAAAATTTTTTAATATAAAAAATTTTTTTAATACAAAAAATTTTTTTAATTTTTTTAAAAAAAATTTTTTAATACAAAAAATAGTTTTATTTTTTTAATACAAAAAATTTTTTAATATAAAAAATTTTTTTAATACAAAAAATTTTTTTAATTTTTTTAAAAAAAAAATTTTTTTAATTTTTTTAAAAAAAATTTTTTTAATATAAATATTTTTAATATAAAATTTTTTAATCTAAAGTTTTTTAATCTAAAATTTTTTAATCAAAAATGTTTTAATCCAAAATTTTTTAATCTAAAATTTAACCAAAAGGAAATACAAAACTTAAAAAATTTAATTATTCAATAAACTATTTTTTGCATTCATATAAAAAATTTGTCCTAAACTATGTGTTTTGCTGATATTATCTTTTAATTAGCTAAACAATTTTAAAAGTTTTTTTAACCAAACAAAAGGGACGTGGTTAAATTAAGCGGGGGCAAAGTTGTAGAGCTAAGTTGCCCCCGCTCTATTTTTTTTGTAGAGCTAAGTTTATTTTTAAGTAAAAATATTTCCTTTCATTTTTAAATGAGCACTTTATTTAATTTTTAATCATTCAAAAATTTTTTCTCTTTGCAACTTTCGTAATCTATATAACTAAACAATTTTAGAAGTTGTTTTTTTTAACTAAACAAAAGGGACGTGGCTAAACAGAGCGGGGGCAAAGTTGTAGAGCTAAGTTGCCCCCGCTCTATGTTTTGTTCTTACCCGATCTTATCTATCAAGTAATAAACATTTTTTAAGTAAAGTTAAAAAAAAGTGGACGTGGCTAAAGTCCAGAGGAGGCGTAAAAATTCATTTTTACTTTTAAGTGATCAGTTTATTTATTTTTGCTTATTTTTGTCCATTTCTATTATTTCCCCTCCATATTGCTTTTACTTAAAAAAAATTTATTTTAATTTATATTTATTAATTTTAATTCCAGTTTAATAATAATAATGAGTCGTAGAACTTCAACAACAACTCCAAATTCCCAGGACGGCGAGCCACAAGCCCGAAGGCAGCGAATGGATATTGTAAACAACGACAATAACAGCGTGGGGCTTGATGTAATTTTTTAATTAATTATTAAATTTAATATTAAGTTATTTTAAAAAATTTTCTACTTTCAAAACAAAAATTTAAAATATTTTTGCGAACTAAACTAAAATTTGGATTTACTTTCAGATTGAAGGAATAATTGCAGCTGAAAGGGCTAGAGCAACGGCGGTGGCGGTTCCAGCAGCAGCTCTTCAAATTCCAAATTTGGATCCGAGAACTTTTTATACGTCTAGTAACTACCTTTTCTGCGGGTGGCGCGCGACTCATCTATTCGAGTTTGTCTCCTTTTACTTTTTTTAAATTTTTTTAGTAGTCTAACAGGTCGTGTCACTTATTCCCATAGAGGACCTACAATGCGGAGGGCTTTTGATAGGGCGGATTTGCTGCTGGAGGTGGGCTCCACAAATGATCTTCAATCTATTGGGATTTATGGTTACGATGGTTGTGCGCAAATTTTAGAACCTGCTCGGCAAAATGATGTAATTTTTTAAAATCAATTTAATTATTATTATAAAATTTTAGATTGTTAGACTTTCTATGTTGACAATTGTAGAACAAACGGGGGCTCGCAATAACTGGACAGGATCTCTTCCTTATGTTTTGAGATTCTCGAGGTCCAGTACTATGCAAATTATTGGCAATGCAATGCCAGCAACTCCACGGGAGGATGCAAATGGAAACAACAGTGGAATTATAAGCAATAATAATAATTTCGGAATAACTGCCAACAATAACATGGGAACTCCAATGTCCAACATGAGTGAAAGCGGGGGCGCAGGACTCCCAGTTATTGGATCATCATCAGCTCGTGGGGTATAATTTGCAGAAATATAGCAAAATTTAACAAATTTAATTTTTATAGAACCAAATGGTTATGAACGATGTTAGTGGAAATCCGGGGACAAGTGGTTCATCGCGTGGGGTACATCAATTTTTTCATTTAATCGCTTAAATTTAAATTTTTAAAGGGTCGTGCGATTAGAAATGCAAATCTCAGCGGGGGCTCTCGTGGATCTAGTCAGGGGGTAGATTTATTTTTTTTAAAAAACTTGTAAATTAATTTTTATAATATTTAATTAAATTTGAGTGTAGGAATATGCGCGAGTTTTAATAGAAAAAAAAAAGAAAAGAGATGTTTTTAAATATTTATTTAGCAATAAAAAATTGATTTTTTTAAAATAATGTTATTAATTGAATTTTTTAAATTGTAATTTGTAATTTAACTTTTATTTTATAATAAATATGATAATCAATTTAATTTAATTCATTTAAATATTTTTTTAAACAGAGTTAATTTCAATAATTTTAATTCAAATAAATTTAATAAATTTAATTTAATTAAATTAATTTAATTAATTTTAAATAAGTTATAATGTTAATAATAAAACCACTAAAATTCAAATAAATTTAATTCATTTAGTCAATTTAATTAATTGTGTCAAGTAAAAGTTAAAACCTACTTTTATCGACAAAAGAATAAAAAATAAATATTAAATATTTATTTAAAGAAATAAAATACAATCTGAAAATATAAAAAATATTTTAAAAGGATTTAGAGAACGGCTTGGCGTTCGGAAGATTAAATTAAATTAATGAACAATTAGATGTTGTGTGTGGATATTTGCCTATTGTTTATATAGGGCCCCATCCGCGATATAGTTAAAGAAAGAATGTGAAAAATAGTATGGAAAGTAAAGAAAAAGATATGTTTCTCTAACTATATCCGGTGGATTGAGAGGTCAAAGTGTTTGCCTATGGGAAAGAAAATGCATGGAAATTTCTGTCCGTGACAGATAAAAATATAAAATTTAATAAATTATTTATAATTTAATTATTCGTGTATTTTTACACGACACTGCCCGCCAAGCGAAGTCGTGTATTTTCTTCCTCCTCCTTTTCTTCTTTAATTTTCTTCAAAATTGTATGCATCATGATGTCTTCCGATTTATTTTCATCTATCTTCTTTCCTGCAAGTGTGAGTATAAGTTTTAAAAATCTTCCTAGTCTCGTGTTTTTTATGTGTTTGAATAGAAATGGGAGAAAGCTATCAAAAAGCCAAATATATGTTATATACGTAGCGACTACTCTAATCCAAAGTTTTTCTAGGTTTATTGTCCAAATGTAATTGAATAAATCTAATATTGGATTTTTTATTGTTTCTTCTGAATTGTGTATGTATTCCTTATTGTTTAAGGCTTTTTGTATCTTTTCTTGCTCAAACTTTCTGTCAATACTATATGTTTGGAACATTTGTAGAATCTCTATTCTAGGGTCGGTGTAATTTTTTATAATCAAGTTGTGAAATGCATGTGTTTCTATTACTGGGTTATTTATATCTTGCCGACTATTTAAGGTTAGATCATGAATCTGTTCTTGTGGAATTTCTTTACTTTTTCCTGTTTTTTGATTTATTTTCATAAGTTTATTTTCAGTAAATATTGTGGTGAATTGTGTCCCAGAACATGGTGTTTCTGTTGAGTTTTCCTTTATTATTAATGTATGGGGTTCAAGAAATGCTTTTATTTGTGTATCTTTTATTGTAATGTTTATACTGATGTCTTTGTAGCATTTTGAATTCCTTATGTATGTTATATTTTCTACTGGTATTGGGAGGCAAGTCTTTGTTTCTAGTATTTCTTTCGATATCCATTTTCCTTTTATATATGGGGTATTCATTAAAATTCTAGCTACTACATTTGCATCAATTCCCGAAATTATTTCATTCTGAAAATTATTTATATCTCGCGCACAAAGTATATTGGTCATATGATTGAGGACTTTTCTTATTTTCTCGGTGGTAAGTGTTTCGCTAGCTGTGAGTTCTGCTGCTAATTGATTAGACATAATTATTCCTGTTTGTATTTTTTCATTTTCCCTTTTCTTTCTTATCATTTTCATATTAAATATCTGGTATTGTGGCGATGGAACTGCATATCTTTGTTCGCTTAATATGAGTTCTCTTTGACAATCAGTTATTTTTGTAGGATTATTTGCAAATGAAAGACCTATTTCCTTATTCTCAGCTAACCAAATTTTACCCATCCATGTTCCTTTCCATTTTCTAATTTTTGAAAATTTACACAACTTTTCGTTAATTTCTTTTCTAATCTCCCATATAATTAATGAATCATCCTCTAGTAAGCATGCTTTATTTTCATATTTACAATGAGAGATGTCAAGTCCTGGTGAGAATATTATCAATGAGTCCGGTTTTACATAGATGCTTATATTGCTCAGAAAACAATTTAATTCACTTGTTTCTTTATAGCCGATAGACCAGTAAGAATATTCAATTTTGGCTTCATTATTAGTGTGGCTTGTGTTTCCAGATCCTGTTAATACCCCTAGTCTACATCTTGACTTTTTCCATATTCTATTACACTCTTCAACACTGACCTCATCTCTCCAAGTTGTTAGGATAAGATGGGGATTATTTATTAAATCAGTTTTAAATTTATATTTGGTGCCTAACATAGAACAATGAGCTGCTGGAATTGATACTAAATCTATGTTGGGTTGATATATGTCAAAATTATGTGTTATTGGTAACAATGGGTCCTTTGTAAAATTTATACAAGGTCGGTGATTTTCTTTTATTCGCCAATACATTTTGTTTTGCTCTGGGCATAACATTGGTGATTGCAAAAATCCTCCTGGTATAATCGTAGAAAGAATTAAGCATAGAAGTATTGTATTTGTAAATACTTTTTTGATGTGCTTAATTTCACTAGGGAAGTTCTGTTCTCTAAAAATGCTATTGTCATTTACTGGATTTTTGCGACTATGAAGGTGATCGTGTGGTCTATCCAACGTTTTTCCCTTTCTCATTTTAAATTTTATTGATCGATTATTTCTATTTTCTATTACTTTTCCAATTTTCAAACATCCGTTTTGTAATGTCTCATTATTTATTTGGACTACTCCAATATGTGGATGTCCTTTTGGATTTTTTGGTTTTGGCCTTTTTGAATATTTTTCCGAAGTGGCATTAACTCGATGAGTTCTGATGTCAACATTTGTTTTTACTACATTTTTAAAATCTAACTGCCCAGACCAAGGATCTTGTAAATTTCCATCGGGTAATTTGTGAATTATTTGTTTAAGCTGTTTATCGTTTGGAGACTTTTGGGCAGTTTCTCTAATATTAGTAGTCTCGATGTTCAGAAAGTCCTTTTCAATTTTCTCAATAATTTTACTTTCTACCATCATTACATACTGATTTTCGTCTTGACTTTCATTCTCTTCTTCCATTTCTTTTATTCTAGCCTTTCCACAAACTATTGGCCCAACTTTAGTATGAAGTAGAAAGCGCTGTTCTCTTAATTTTTCTACACTTTCTAGAATATTTAAAACGTCGGCTAAACCTAATAATACGTCTGGAGTGCATTTCTTTACATTTATTTCGTTTTTTTCGTACAACCAAAAATCTCTTTGACTAGAAGGACAATAAATTTTCATTTGATCTAGATTGGGTGTAGTAAATCCTTCTATCATTAAATTAGATCCATCCTTTAATTTCATTTCGAATTTAATACGTGTAGAAATAAATCTTGATTTTCGACCGCCATATGCATCAATTTCTATTTCAGTTTTATGTTTGGGATCATGGGTTAAAAGTCCTAATTTTTGCGCAAAATTTTCGCTAATTAATGTACAAGTAGCGCCTGGGTCCATTAATGTCCGTCCTCTGATTGTTTCTTGATTTCTTAAATACTCTATATTCTTTGTGATTAATATTGTTTTAATTTTTTCTCCTTTTAATGCGAATGTATTGATTTCTTCTTTTACATTTTTGCCTGCATTAATTTTAGTTAATTCGATGAAATCGGTTATACACATTGAATCCTCATCAGAAAAGTCTGGCTCTTTTGTTTTATTAATCCTAAGATTATCGATTATATTTTGTACAATTTCTTTATTAGTCACTTTCGCGCATATAGCTAGGTAATGAGGTTGAGAGCAGTTTTTGCATCTTATTTTATCGTTTTTACAGAATTTTATGATGTGACCCTTCTCAAAGCATTTTATACACTTTCCTAATTCTTTTAGTCGTTAGATTCTAGTTTCCCAATTATCATAATTTCTACACTGCATCGAGCTATGGCTTGTTAATTCACAAAATGCGCACGGTCTTTTAGGTCTATCTAGATCCTTCGCATATTGGTTTATTTCGGGCCTTGTGTTTTGCTTTTGTTCTCTCCAGCTTGTATTTCTATTAGGTTCAATAATTTGAGTAAATACATTGTGATTCCTGGTGGGTGGTTGTTTATAAGCTGATGAATTCTGATTAATTTGTCCGTAAACAGCTTCCTTTATTTTTAAATGTCTATCGATTGAATCTAATAATTTTTCTACTGCCCAATTGGATGGATTTCTAGTTTGCTCTTCCATAATGGTACAACTAACCCAGCCTCCGAATTTATTTTCTATTTGTTGTATTAGCGCTCCATTATCTATATCTTCACCTAACGCTTTTAATTGTTGTGTAACTCGATTAATGGTAATCCAATTATTTCTAACATCCTCCAGTTTTGAAGCACGCGGACAAAGTTTATTTAATTCACTGTATAATTCTCTTTTAATAGTATGATTATCCCCGAATCGCTTTTTTAAGTGGTTCAAAACGAGCGGATAGTTGACTGCTGTAATCGCGTATCCACTAACCTCATTGTAAGGATGCGGGCGATTGAGTGAAGCTAATAGATAAGTCAATTTTTCCGAGTCATCTAAATTGTTATTCTTATCTATAGAAATTTCAAAGAGACTCCAAAAGCTTTGCCAATCGCTTGATTTTCCGCTGAAGTTAGGTAGATTACAAATTGGGAGTCTAATCGAATTGGACTGTGTAATAGATGTATTCGATGAGCTTAAGTTGTGCAAAGTACTGTTGAATTCCATGAGATTGGCCTCTAATTCACAGCTTAAGTCCCGAGCTAATTCTATTAAGGCAATGAATCCGTTCTCATCCTCTGCATAACTATTGTAATCTTTTAACATCTCTTCTCTTCTTTCTGGTGATTCTAGACTTATAAGCTTTGCCCACTCAGTATTAATCTGTTCTAGTACTTCAACAGCCTTTGACAGTTTTAATTGATAACCTTTTAAATTCGTCGCGTTTTCTTGGGAAATTCCATTGCTTATCAATTCTTTTACTGTATTTATGTAGCTTATGGTGCGCTTCCTGAGGGGACCAAGTCTCATTTTTAATGGACCAGCAAAGATTCGAGAACTCATTTTGTAATAGCAGCCTAGGTAATTCAAGCTCTGCTAATATAAGAAATTTCTGATGTGTTCAAAAAGCTCGTAATCAAGTGTGGTAATTGAAGTGTTTTTGAAGTTTCAATAGATTAAACTACGTTTCTTTATTTTTAAATCTCAATAAGTTAGTCGTTTAAAATACAGATTTAATTATAAGAATTTAATAAAATTTTTTAAAATAATTTGTTTATTATTATTTGTTGTTGTTTGTACTGTAATTGGTTTGTTTGTTGTTGTTTGCTGTTAAGGGAGTGTTTGAAGACGAATTTCCCCTTGTAGTTTCGGCTTGGGCCTTGTGTTGAATGAAAAACAAGTGCAATTGGTTTCCGGAATGTCGGAGCTGGGCCGATCCAGAATTTGCTTTAGCACTGTTCTGTTGAATTCTGAAGTTGTAGGAAATTCGCCTCTCCCGGAGCACCACTTTTTTGTCAAGTAAAAGTTAAAACCTACTTTTATCGACAAAAGAATAAAAAATAAATATTAAATATTTATTTAAAGAAATAAAATACAATCTGAAAATATAAAAAATATTTTAAAAGGATTTAGAGAACGGCTTGGCGTTCGGAAGATTAAATTAAATTAATGAACAATTAGATGTTGTGTGTGGATATTTGCCTATTGTTTATATAGGGCCCCATCCGCGATATAGTTAAAGAAAGAATGTGAAAAATAGTATGGAAAGTAAAGAAAAAGATATGTTTCTCTAACTATATCCGGTGGATTGAGAGGTCAAAGTGTTTGCCTATGGGAAAGAAAATGCATGGAAATTTCTGTCCGTGACAGATAAAAATATAAAATTTAATAAATTATTTATAATTTAATTATTCGTGTATTTTTACACGACAAATTGTAAATAAATTATACTACTAATAAGAGAAGCAAAAAATTCAAATAAAATTTAATGTAAATAGATTTAACAATAATTATACTAATAATTAATGTAATAATATAAAAATTAATGTAATTTACATAATTTAATTAATTTAATACAATTAATTTTAAAATATTTAAATAAATTATAATAATTAATGTAATAAAAGTAAAATAATTTTAATTTAAATAAATTAATAATAATAATTATACTAATAATTAATTTAATACAATAAAAATAAATGTAATTTAAATAAATTTAATTAATTTAATTCAATTAATTTTAAAATATTCAAATAAATTATAATAATAAATAATGTAATAAAATTAAATAAGTTTAATTTAAATAAATTTAATTAATTTAATTCAATTAATTTTAAAATATTTAAATAAATTATAATTAATGTAATAAAATTAAAATAATTTTAATTTAAATAAATTAACAATAATTATACTAATAATTAATTTAATAAAATAAATGTAATTTAAATAAATTTAATTCAATTAATTTTAAAATGTTCCAATAAATTATAATAATATTTAATGTAATAAAATTAAAATAATTTTAATTTAAATAAATTAACAATAATTATACTAATAATTAATTTAATAAAATAAATGTAATTTAAATAAATTTAATTCAATTAATTTTAAAATGTTCCAATAAATTATAATAAAATTTAATGTAATAAAATTAAATAATTTTAATTTAAATGAATTAACAATAATTATACTAATAATTAATTTAATAAAATAAATTTAATTTAAATAAATTTAATTCAATTAATTTTAAAATGTTCCAATAAATTATAATAATATTTAATGTAATAAAATTAAATAATTTTAATTTAAATGAATTAACAATAATTATACTAATAATTAATTTAATAAAATAAATTTAATTTAAATAAATTTAATTAATTTAATTCAATTAATTTTAAAATGTTCAAATAAATTATAATAATAATTAATGTAATAAAATTAAATAATTTTAATTTAAATGAATTAAAAATAATTATAATATTAATTTAATAAAATAAATTTAATTTAAATAAATTTAAATAAATTTAATTCAATTAATTTTAAAATGTTCCAATAAATTATAATAATATTTAATGTAATAAAATTAAATAATTTTAATTTAAATGAATTAACAATAATTATACTAATAATTAATTTAATAAAATAAATTTAATTTAAATAAATTTAATTAATTTAATTCAATTAATTTTAAAATGTTCAAATAAATTATAATAATAATTAATGTAATAAAATTAAATAATTTTAATTTAAATGAATTAAAAATAATTATAATATTAATTTAATAAAATAAATTTAATTTAAATAAATTTAAATAAATTTAATTCAATTAATTTTAAAATGTTCCAATAAATTATAATAATATTTAATGTAATAAAATTAAATAATTTTAATTTAAATGAAGTAACAATAATTATACTAATAATTAATTTAATAAAATAAATTTAATTTAAATAAATTTAATTAATTTAATTCAATTAATTTTAAAATGTTCAAATAAATTATAATAATTAATGTAATAAAATTAAATAATTTCAATTTAAATGAATTAACAATAATTATACTAATAAGTAATTTAATAAAATAAATTCAATTTAAATAAATTTAATTAATTTAATTCAATTAATTTTAAAATGTTCAAGTAAATTATAATAATTAATGTAATAAAATTAAATAATTTTAATTTAAATGAATTAACAATGAATTAACAACTAATAATTAATTTAATTAAATAATTTTAATTTAAATAAATTTAATTAATTTAATTCAATTAATATTAATTATACTAATAATTAATTTAATAAAATAAATTCAATTTAAATAAATTTAATTAATTTAATTCAATTAATATTAAATATTCTAATAAATTATAATAATAATTGATGTAATAAAATTAAAATAATTTAAATTTTAATGAATTAAAAATAATTATATAATAATTAATTAATTTAATAAAAATAAATATACTTTAAATAAATTTAATTAATTTGATGCAATTTTAAATAAATTAGTAAATAAATGCAATCGAAATGTAAAACAAAAAAAACAAATAAAAATTTAGAGTAAAAATTAAATTATATATTTATATAAATTTTAAAGTTGAAATAAAATTTTCAGCCTTCTCAGCCAAGATCAGTGCTCGAATTTTTCCAAGAGACCCGCACACGAGAAGGGCAACGACAGACTGCTCGTCGAGGAGGGGCGCGCGTGTCATCACCACGGCTTAGAGGTCGGCTTGGTAGGACCCCACCACCAGATGTGCTAAATATGCATGAGAACGAAGAAGAAGAGGAAGACGATGTGGAGGTTTTGGAAGAAGGAGTGGGGACGGTTCTGGAGCCTCCTGATTTTCAAGCCGGTGTTGGACTTAGCCAATTCGAAATTGAAAAATTTGTCGCCTCAGCGGACACTTTATCACCAACTTATCTGCAGCAACAAGAGGAGGGAGAGGTGGGACCTTTCTGCGCTATTTGCCTAGAGAAATTTACTGTTGAAACTTTAGTGGTTATTCCGGTGTGTGGCCACAAAATGTGCTGGACGTGTTTTGAAAAGCTTTCACAGACTTATCGGGCCTGCCCTGAGTGTCGTCGTGATTTAGTTCGCGGCACAACATAGGCAAACTCGCAAGACCCCAGGGATTCCCATTTAAAAGTTTTTCTTACATTTCTAAATTTATATTGGGAATCCTTTGGAAAGGCGGGGGAAAAAGAAAGGGGGCCTTTATTATTTTTATTATTTTATCCTTAGTGTCATTTTTAAATGTCAGAAAAAGTATTAATATAAAAATTTTTTTAATAATTACACCCATAACTTTAATTGCAACTTTTTTATGCCTTTTATGAATAACTTTTGTATGCCTTTTATGTTTTTTATATTTATTTATGGATAAAGAATAATTATATAATTTTTTAAATAATGATAAAAATAAAGTTTCAATACTAAAATATAATCTTAGTAAAAAAAAATGTGGAAAAAAAATGTTTAATTTAATAGTAATGTTTCATTAAATTTATCTATCACACTTGACATTGAAAAATCCAAATCCTTCGCTTCACCATATAAATAAAACAGACTATAAAATAATTAACAGTTTTTAAATTTCAGATAAGTAATTCAGCACAACAACAACATCACCAACAACAAAATCATCATCAAATGAATGATCCTTTTATTATTGAATCTGTCCGCGAACTTAGATCAAGGTCGCGAAATACATTCGGCGAAATTTGCAACGTTAGGTTCACGCCTTTTGAAGACCAAGCTAGGCCGGACTTAACCTTAACAACACTTATTTCTCGTCTTCTGGACCGGGTTTTAGCTGATCGCCCTGAACCACGGCTCATTGGTCTACAACTTCATCCGCCATCATTTAATAATCCATTCACCGTCCCGCTTCGCCCTCCAGCTCAAAATAATGCGGGGGCCATGGCGGCAGCTATAGAGAGATTGAATGAGATTAGTCAGGCCGGCATAGATCTCTTGCTAGGTACTACTACTACTAAAGTAATAGCAGTATGGCCGCTCAATTCTCAACGCACTTCAAACCCAGAAGATCATAGAGGTGAGTAACAGTTTTGTTTTTTACATATTTAAATAATTATGTAAGGCATTTCTGTTATTCAAGGTGGATGTAATATTGATCAAGAGCATGTTATAACATCACAATGTCGCTCCATTGTCAAAGTTATCAACCCAAATGATAGGTTTTGCCTTGCTCGCTCTGTATATATTGGACTTACAAGGATCAATTTAATTGATTTAAATGTAAGAGGGGTCTCCACTCAACAACAGAAACATCATTTTCGGATTTTTTGTAGACAACAGGATGAGCATTTAAATGATGTAATCGAGCTTATGCAAAATTCTGGTCTTCCACTAAATTTAAATGAATATTCACTCAACCATGTCCCCGCGTTGCAGCGTTATATTAATCAAAATATGGGAGACGAAGGACAAATAAGAATTGTTATTTTTGAAAAGGAGCAGCAATATAAAATTGTTTTTAAAGGTATTATTATTAAATATACTTAATAATTAAATAATTTGTTAATTAGGCGAGGGCCGTGCTGCACGTTTTAACATTTGTATTTTGTTGGAAAATGGGCACTATAATTATATGGAGAGACCTGAACAACTTTTCCATGCCCATCGTTTCTGCATAGATTGTGAAAGGTGTGTTACACGTTTGCGTCATTGGGCTGGTTGTACAGTTATCTGCCGACTTTGTATGCGTTATGGAGCAAATTTTCCATGTCAACTGATTGAAAGAATTCCATGCAATGATTGTGGTTTTGTCTTTCCACAGCGGGGGTGCTATGAACACCACCTGACTAATCAAGTGCCTGCGGAGATGGCAAGCCCAAGAACACGACCTTTTGCATCAATTTGTCAATCTCGAAGAATTTGTTCCCGCTGTAATCGCATTATATTTGGTCAACAGCAACAACAACTTCACAACTGTGTTGAAGAACAACAACGTCAACACCAACAAACATTAAATGGGCAATTGAGCAACTGTGCCAAATGTCGAGGGCCCCACATACCAGAACACCCATGTTTTATTCAACCACTCAAGCCTAATGAACATTCTATAATTGCCCGAGGGGAAGAAGAAGAAGGAAATATTATTGAATCTTCTATAGGTATTTTTCTAAACTTTTATATGAAAAAAATTTTTTTAATAGCGGGAGATGAAAATGAGCAAACCCAACACCCAGAACAACAACAACAGAGACGTAGGGAGGCAAAATTTCCAGTGAGGTTTTGTTTTTTTGATGCAGAAACGTCCCAAGAACATCCAATGGCTGTTGGTGTGAACAACGCGGGGTATAAACACGTCCCTTTGTTGATTATTGCTGAGATTCTTTGCGAAAAATGTATTATTGCGGGAATTGGAATTGAAGATATTGGTCAACGAGCAACTGGATGTTTCTGTGGTGTCCCAAGAGGGGAAAGATGGCAACGTTGGTGCTCACCACCCTTTAGAAATGCACCTGGGGACAACACCAATTTGCCTGAGACTCCAGCCTATAATCCTCGGCGAATGTATTTTCATAGCTTTGATAGCGAAGCAGAAAATCCTGTGGATCAATTTTTGGATTATCTTCTATCGGTGCTTTTTAAATTTATATTTTTATTGAAAAAGTAATTTAGTATGGCTCTCAGCAAATGTTAACTGTGTGTATCGCTCACAACGGGGGTAAATATGACTTCCACCTAATTCTTGAAGCGCTCCATAGAAGAAATTTACCTCCAAAAAGTCTCTGTACGACCGGACTGAAGATCTACTCAATGAGAATTGGGGGCAATCGACAAAGGAAAATACTTTTTAAAGACTCGCTCAATTTTTTCATTTGCGAACTTGACGCTCTTACTAAAGTATTTTCTCTACCTGAAGATGTTGCTACATCAAAACCATTTTTTCCATACCTTTATATAATGCGACAACACCTGCATTTGAGAATTCAAGGGCTCCCAGCACTTGAGTACTACCAACCAGACTTTAAAAAACCGGAGAAACGAGCCAAACTACTTGAATGGCATCAACAACAAACGAACATACCAACAACAAATTTCCAGCTCCGAGAACAACTTGTGATTTATTGTGCAAACGACGTTGCAATCCTTCGAGAGAGTGTTCTTCGATTTCGCCGTCTCATTGGAGAAAACAGCGGGGGACTCGATCCATTCTTAGCTGCTTCCACCGCAGCAGGACTCGCACTAACAACAATGCGACGCTGTTTTCTACCTGAAAATTGGCTTGTGCATTCTCCAGAAGGTGGCTTTCTGCGTGGAAGGAGAGCTTCTGCCGAGTCGCAGCGCTATATCAAATTATTTGAGTTGGAAAATAAAGAAGCTGAAGGAAAAGTGCGGGGTGCCCAATGGGCTATTGGTGAAGCTAATGTTGAAGATTGTGGCTACCGTCTTGATGGACTTTGGTATAGAATTCCACCTTTAAGACCTCTTGCAATTGAATACAATGGGTGCTACTACCATGGTAATATTTATTTGAATTAGCAAATTTTTTTTAAATATTTTTTATAGGTTGTCCTCAATGCTTCCCGATACGCGACCAGAGACTAGCTGGTGGTCGCACTGCTGAAGAACTGTACGAGCGCACTCAATCGCGCCTCTATGAACTTGAACAACAGGGATATTCTTTACACGTCGTGTGGGGACATGAAATGAAGGAAAGGCTACGCTTTAATCAACAACTAAAGCGAACATGGAATGAAATTGATGTTGTACGCCCGATGGACCCCCGGAAGGACTGCCTTAGAGGGGGAAGGACTGAGCCTTTCAAACTTCACCACATTTGTAAACCTGATGAGGAGATAATCTACATTGATATAGTAATTTTTAAAATTAATTTTAAAATTTTGAATAAATTTGAGGTCAGTCTATATCCATATGTGATGAAGGCAAGAGAGTTCCCGATTGGATATCCCGATGTTTTGACAAGAGAAACTCTTACGCAACCACCTAATGCTATTCTACCATGGACTCACCCCCGTCACAATAGATATAAGGGACTTTTATTAGTCCGTGTTCTACCACCAACATCAATGAATGGCCTTCCTCCACTTCTTGGGTACAGAACACATGATGGTCGTCTGACTTTTCCTCTGTGTTCTTCGTGTGCGGACAACAAACAACAACAACAATGTCGTCATTCAATGAAGCAAAGATCTTGGATTAGTGGTTACACCCACGTGGAGTTGAATAAGGCGCTAGAGCTGGGTTACCAAATTTTAGATATTTACGAGGTTATTTTTCTCTTGATTTCCTTATATTATTTTTAACCTTAATCTTTTAGGTGTGGAATTATGATCGCTGGGACCCTGAACTGTTCAAAGGATATGTTAATACATTTGTAGGCCTTAAACAACAGGCTAGCGGGTGGCCCGAAAAATGCGATTCACAAGAGGCTCGCGATCGATACATTGCCGAATTTGATCGAATTGAGGGGATTAGAATGGATCCAGCAAAAGTGGAAATAAATCCTGGACTTCGAATGATTGCGGTGGGATATAAAAAATTTTTAAATGGAAAATATTTTTTTAGAAAATATTGGCAAATTCTTTGTGGGGAAAACTGGCTCAACGTGTGGGGACAACCGAAGTTAAGTATGCAAGAACACCTGAAGAATTCCATCAATTGTTGGAGGACCCAACGCTCGAAACGCTTGATTTTGAGCATGTCAGCGAATTTATGGACCGGTGTGTGGTGCGCAAAAAGGAAGAATTCGCCAAACCTTCAGACACTAATTGTCTTCACGTGGCTGCTTTTGTAACATCATACGCACGACTACATCTATATAAATATATGGAGGAAGTTAAGCAAATTAATGGACAGCTTTTGTACTGTGACACCGACTCCATATTTTATGTCAAAAAATGTGGGGGCACTTTTGTCAGCGAAGGGGAAGCTTTGGGCCAAATGAAGCGAGAACATCTTGGAAGGAAAATACTTGAATTTGTTTCTGGCGGTCCAAAAAATTATGGATTTCGACATGTTGATGCGGCCACTGGGAGGGATGAAAGGGCCGAGCTAAAAATAAGATCTTTTCCACTTTCATATGCAACACACCAACTGCTAAATTTTCAAACAATGAAACAACTTGTTATTTGTCAATTTAATATTGATGGGGAAATGTAATTTATAAATTTAAAAAAAATAATAATAATAAATTTTAGTGATGATATGGCTTCTGAAAATTGTATATTGGATTCTAACAACATAATTAGTGTAGAATTTCCTCAGATTGGACGAACAACACGCTCGGATCTTTATACAATAATGGCTAGGAAAGACTACAGAGTTTGTTTTGAAAAAGGAAGGATTCGGCCAAATATGGAAACTCTCCCATTTGGGCACGGAAATGTTTTGGAACAACAACAAGAGGTTATTAAATTTACTTTAAAAATAAATTTGATATTTTTATTAAAAATATAAAAAAATTTCTAGAAAATTATGTTTAGGCTCGCATAATTCATCAACCACATGTTCAAGTTCAACAACAACAATACCAACAACATCCCATTTTGGATTTAGAAGACATTCCTGGTTCTTCGAATTGGACGGATGTAGATTATTTAAGACGATATAGATAAATTTTTATTTTTTAAATTTTTATTTTTTAAATTTTATTTTCATTGATATTATATTAGAATATATTTTTTCAATATAAATATTTTTTTTACAATCTTGGAAATTTTAAAAGTAGGGGTAAAATTATATTGTCGAATAAATAGTCGACCTGTTTAGTAGAATTTATTCCGGTTAATATAACACGCCCAGAAATGTAGATAAGGCATGAAGCTTCTCTTTTAAACTTGTCATCATTCATCTTGAATCTCAAAGCTGGAAATATTGTGGGATCATAGGAAACTTTTGTTATTTTTTCAAATAATTTGTCATATTTATGTCGCCTTCTGAATTCCTGATATATCAATTCAATCGCAACTCGGTTCATACTTCGATATGAGCTGACAATATTTGTAACTTTAAGGCTTATGATTCCAAGTTGAGAAAATTGTTGTATTTTTGCTTCTTTTATAGAAAATTCTATTCTTTTTAACACTATTGAAGCCATTTTTCTAGCTGACTTAACGTTGGGAACACCTGTTAGCACCACTTTACTAGATTGAAAAATTAATGCTGCGGTTGTTTTGGTATGTTTATGTCGAATACGCATTATTATTGAGTGGAATCGTTTAGGATTATATTCAGTATTTATGCCGCATCTAGCTATTTTGAGAAAATTTTCTGATGAAAATCTTTGAATGCCTGGCAAAAGCTTAAAAACACATGTACAATTTTCGATATTCATATTTACTTTCTAAAATAAAAATAAAATATAAGAATTCTAATAAGAATACAAAAAATAAAATTTCTATAAAAAATATTTTATTATTATTTAGCATTTTTTCATCGGTTTACTTTTCTTAGAAACACAAATAACTTCGAGCGGGTAGTAAGAACGATGGTGTCCTCCTCCAAATTCAATTAAGCATGGCAAGTATGGGTGGTGTAATTTGATGCCATGTTTTACATAGTAGTACCCACGTACCTTAATTTAACATTCTATTTTTAAATTTTTAAAAGATTACCGTTATATTCAAATATCCGCCCATCGCAGGAACAATACTTGCTGGTTGGACAGTAAAATCGTTGCACCGAATAACAAAATTTTTATAAGGAAGTAAATGTGATGTACGTAGTTGAACTTGATTTTGTAAGTGTAAAATTATTTCTCGGCGTTTTTCGATGTTATAGAAAAGTACATGAAGCTCTTTGAATGCACAGTTGTGTAGTTGACATAGATATTCAATTAAAGGCACTGAGCGACGTTTCAAAATTGATAATGGTAACGGGTTTTCTATTTCAACTGGTTTTGGCCCGATAAAAGGGTTTTCCTCCTTCTTAACGTCTTTTTCCTTTTCTTCCTTTTTTTCTGATACATTTGTTGGATCATTACTTTCTTTTTCATTATCTTCATCGCTTTCTAGTACTATCTCGAGTATTTTTTCGTCGTTAGTCTTCAAACCATCCTCCTTATTTTTGTCCTCGCCAATCTCTTTAACCAGAGAGGTTAATCCAAGTGAGGTGACCAAGAGATCGATTTCATTCTAAATAGAAATTAAAGTTAGACAAATAAAAATTAATTACATTTTCCGTTTCCCTATTTTTTGAAGTATGTTCATACGATTCTGTTTCTTGTTGCTGTAATTCACGTTGTTGTTGTTGTTCCTTCTCCTTTTGTTCGCGTATTTGCTTTTCTTCCTGGGTTTCGAATACACCCCAATGGCCGAATGTGTTGAAGGAATTAAAATTCATTTTTTTTGTAAAAAGAATAAAAGAAAATGTAATAATTATATATATAATGAAGAATATTAGAATCTAAATTTTTTACATTTACTATAGCGAAATAAAATGGAAGGATTCGAGAAAATTGATTATTTACATTCACGATTCAAGCACCCTTTTACAATGATAGTTTCAGGGAGTACTGGGTCTGGTAAATCAGAATGGGTTAAAAATTTTTTAGACAATTTAACAGAGTTGATTAATTCTGATACAAATATTTCGCTTGTTTTCTATTGTTATGGGGAATTAAATAAAAATATTTTACTTATGCAAAGAAAAGGATATGTTGATAAAGGAAAAACACGGGTCATTGTTCATAATGGGGTGCCAAGTGGGGCAGAGGACTTTATTCATAAGCAAGCAATTCAATCAGAGGGTTCTATGCTATTGGTACTAGATGATTTAATGGTTGGGATAGATCAGCGTTTTATTGAAACAATATTTACAAGGGGGTCCCATAATTGGAAGATGAGTGTAATTCTAATTAGTCAGCACTTATTTTCGAAAGAACTTAAAATTCCTCGTAATAATTCTCACTATTTATTATTAATGAGAAACCCCGCGGGAGCGTTACAAATTAGAACACTTGCCATGCAAATTTTCCCTTCACACTCAAAATATTTTTTAGAAGCTTATGGAGATGCAACAAAGGAAAACTTTGGTTATTTGTTGGTTGATATTCATCCAAGCACTCCTGAAGTCCTTCGACTGAGAACACATATATATCCAAACGAAAATACAATTATTTATCTTCCAAAATGAAAAATAAAATTTTTCCAACTAGTTTTTTAATCGAAAAAAACGCAAACTTTCTAAATAATTTATTGACTTGCTCAAAATCAAAAAATGCAGTTAATAAAATTATTTCAAACGCTTCTGATGAACAATTACTATGTCTAGTTGAAATTTGCTTGAATTTGTTAAAATGGAGGCTACCATTTCATAAAAACAGAATACAAAATCTACAAAACCAGGCATCATTATTACGTAAAATTAGTCGCTCACGAAGCGCTTCTTCGGCTAAGCGCCTGCTACTCTGCGATAAAATTCAAAATGGGCGTGGTTTCCCACCAGTGGCGGGTCTTCTTGCAAGTCTTATTGTTCCCTTAATCGCAGAGAATTTTTTAAATAAAAATATAAATAAATAAGATAATTTTCAAATTTAATTAATTTCAAAAATGCGGCACGCATCTCGAATGCTTTTAGTACCAGAAGATTTTTTTAAAAGTTTAATGGGTTCAGAAAGACTTGAGGAAAAGACTAATAGTAGTATTGGTAATGATGGAACATCACTTGGTTTAATTCGCGAACGCCTACAAAATGCTAGAGATAATTCTAAATTAGATCCTGAAACACAAGCTATTAACTATGAACAGGACTTTAAAAGATATAATAAACTTGTTAGAGAAAAAGAAGAAAAACCTATTGATGTTAAACTTAAGAATATTGGAGAAATTTCTGAGAAACTATTAAATAATTATAATGAAAAAGTTTTAAAACCGCCACAAAATATTAATGTTAACAAGTTAAAGAAAACAGTCCAAGTTAAAAATTTGAAAAGAAAATCTATTGCAAAGGTTGTTAAAAAACCTTCCAAGCCTTTTGTCGATAAAAACATTAAAGTTGACGAGCCTGAATTTTTCTCAGCTGACGATGAGGAGGGTAAAAATTCATATGAATTGAATTTAAGCGAAAAGGCTCTTAAATATATTAAAGAAAATTCTGAATCATTAGGTATAACACCTGACTTAAGACTGGCAAGAAAATTAGGAGGTAATTATCCATTTATTACAAGTAATGTCGAAGAAATTATAAATTATATAATTAAAAATAATGGAGATCGAATAAGGCCATTACCTACTGGTTACGACGAATTTATTCGCAGAATTGATAACCATACATTTTTAAAAAATTTACTATTTCCTCCGGGTACATCTACAGGTCAAACTGGTAGCGGAGTTTTTTCATTTAAACCTATGCTATGGAAAAATTATCGATAAAACAAATAAGCATTTTGGATCGTTTATATAAAGATATAAATTCATCAACATGTTTTACGTCTCTTGAACCCCTTCTTAAGGAAGCAAAACGTGTAGACAAAAGTATTACTCGTGATGCTGTCAAGAAATATCTTTCGACTCAGAATACTTACACTTTGCATAGGCGCGCAGTCAGGAAATATAAACGAATGCGCACACTCGCAGCTGGCTTACATACCGAATGGCAAGCTGATTTGAGTATTTTTGATAGTTTAAGCAGTCAGAATAAAGGTTTTAAATATCTTCTTGTTTGCATTGACACGCTTAGCAGAATGATATTTGTTGAGCCCGTTAAGAGTAAACATAGCGAAAAAATGATTGAAGCCTTTAAAAGATTATTTTCGAGAATAAAAATTGTTCCCTGGAAATTACTTACAGACCAAGGACTAGAGTTTACAGCAAAAGAGGTCCAAAAATATTTTAAATCTATAGATATGGAACATTTTTCCATGGTCACGTCCCCTCAATGGCACGCTGGCATGGCAGAAAGAGCTAATCGTAGCATAAAGGAAAGACTTTATCGTTATTTTACTGAAAAACGAACATTAAAATGGGTAGACGTTATTCAAGATATTGTTAGCGCAATAAATAATTCTTTTAATTCGAGTATTGGCATGCGACCTATTGATGTTACCTATAATAACGCAGAAGGTTTAAGACTAAAATTAAAAGATCAAGCGCGAGAGGAAGTTGCGCCAAAACGTTGGAAGCATACTGATTTTTCCGTTGGCGATAAAGTTAGAATAGAAAAATATAAACATGTATTTCAAAAGGGATACTTGCCAAATTTTACCGATGAGATTTTTGTTATTAAACAGGTACGTCTTGTTCCACACAAGCGCCCTACTTACAGACTATCCGACCAAAAAGACGAATTAATTAGAGGTTCGTTTTATGCAAATGATTTGTGTTTAGTTAGAGAACGTAAAAAGGAAGATGTGCTTTATGATATAGAAAAGGTTTTGAAAAAAAGAAAATTTGAAGGGGAAAATCAATACTTTGTAAAATGGAAAGGGTATAGTACGAGATTTAATAGCTGGATTCCCGCTAGCTCAGTTAATTGGAGATAATATATAAATAATAAGTAGATTTAAAACAAATTTAGTTAAAATGACTTCATTTTATATTGTTCTTCCTTCTAACACTAATGTTGAGGGTAATAAGACAAATTCATTCAGAGTTCGATTACCCCAGAAATTACAATTTAATTCTGAATGGACCGTAGGTTTGGCTGTAATGGTTTATCCTTATTCATGGCCATCTCTTGGCACTACATCGGAACAATTTTTTTCTGTGACATGGCAAACTAATGAGAGCGTCCGCTTAAATGTATCATCTTCCAGCTTTTTGAATCCTCAGCAGCTGAAAGAAAATTTAAATAGATCACTTGAAGAAGGTTGTAGAGACTTATCGGCTAAAATGAAAGCAATACATATTGAATATATTAATAAATTGAAGGAACTTAAAAATCAAGCTAAGCAAGAGTATAAACGACTTAGCGAATTAAAAAAGAATGAAAATACGACCAAACAAGAACATTCGGTTGATTCTATTCCCTTAAAGACTGAATCTGAAATTTATTCAGATTTAGTAACAAAGATGAATGAAGATGTAGACAGTGTAATAAAATTTTTATTAACTAGTGGAAGCGATTTTGATTCTTGGGAACATGCTTATCTCAAGCCAGTTTCTGTGTGTAATTTTGAATTTTACGAAAAGAAAAATCGTTTCTCCTTATTTTTAAATAAAAGCTTTATAAAGAGTGTAACAATGACAGAGCAACTAGCTTATATTTTAGGATTTGATAAGCTTGAAATGTTTGAGACATCTATTGCAAAATTTATGCCTGATATGAAAGGTGGAGTGTCTTCTTTTCATGTATATGCTCCCGGGTTAATTGAACCGATGATAATTGGTGATGTAACCGCTCCTGTACTAAGAATAGTAAATATTAGAGGAAAGCAAGATGAAATTATTGAAGAACAATTTCTCTTTGTTCAATATCACAAATTGTTAATAAAAGAGATTAATGAAATTTTTATTGAAATCAGGACTTCTAGCGGAACGTTAATGCCCTTCCAGTACGGAACATGTACATTGACTTTACATTTTAAAAAGTCAACATATTTTTGAAATATTATGAATACTCTTCAGATAAATAAAATCTTACATAGAAATAATTTTACAAAAGATTCTTATATTGGATGTTTTGCAGCTGATACAATTCCAGTTTCAATTAATTTTACACCCTTTTGCATGGTTGTGAATATAGATCCCTCTAGTGCAGCTGGTAGCCACTGGGTCGCAATATTTTGTGAATATCCTTCTACTATAGATTATTACGATTCTTTAGGTATATGGCCTCCAATTAGTCCTTATATAAGAAATTATCTGAGTAAATTTCAACGTGTTCGTTTCAATCCGGTTCAGGTACAAAACTCATCGAAACCTACTTGTGGGAAACATGTAATATTTTTCCTGTTTCAGAGATGTATTGGATTCTCTATGAATAAAATAATTCAGTTTTTAAACAGAGTTAAAGCTGATAATTTTGTTTCTGAATTTATAAAAAATAAGATATTTAGTATAAATAGCTGAGAATAATTTACATTTTTTTTAATTTTGAAAAATGAATATTGACTTTGATCCCGCACATATCGATTGGTCAACACTTACCGAGCAATCGATTGATAATAATTATCAATGGGGAGGTTATAATATTTTCCGCGGTATTCCATATCAACGAGGAAATGGCTTAGGGTCGATCCTTAGAAGCTTCATGCGATATCTTATACCTTTTGGTAAGCAAATTGGTAGTACTCTAGCTAGACAAGGATTAGAATCTAGCAATCGCGTTTTAAGTAATGTTATAGAAGGAAAAGATCTTAAGGAATCACTTGTCGACGAGGGAAAAGCTGGCTTAAAAAACTT